GACCTCGACTCCGTCTCGGTCCATAAACACGCAAAAAAAGAACTTGGCCAATATCCAGCCATCTTGACCTCACACTTGGTCAATAACCCATACGTATTACATGCTAAACGATGGAATATGTGTATTTATTATCCAACTGCAGCGAATAGTGTCCAAATAACAGTACAAATATAGATATCTTATTAGATGTTTTGGTTTGTAGTATCGCAAATAACAGTACAAATATAGATATCTTATTAGATGTTTTGGTGTGTAGTATCGCTGTATATTTTTACGAGTTGTGCCGTATTTTGACGAGCCCGTAGGGCGAGTCAAAATACAAACAACGAGTAAGAATACACAACGATACTACACACCAAAACACCTAATAAGAGATTTATTATCCAACTGCTGTAGTCAATAAATTTATCAATGAAAGAGGGAGAGTGTGACAGTTTTGCGTGCGCGCGCCGACCTGTACGGCAAACTGGTTTTCTACTGTACAAATATGGCAAACAGGTTTTCTACTGTACAAATACGGCAAACAGGTTTTCTACTGTACAATATCACCTTCACCTGTCCCCTGGCGCCAAGTTGGCGCATAGGGCCTCGCTGTGCAATATCACTGCCGGAATATTTGCACTGTTATTTGGACAGTATTCGCTGCAGTTGGATAACAATCAGCGATATTGTACGGTAGAAAACCTGTTTGCCGTACAGGTCGGCGCGCGCACGCAAAACTGTCTAGATAATAACTAATAAATCTCTTCTTAGATGTTTTGGTGTGTAGTATGGCTGTATATTTTTACTCGTTGTTTCTATTCTGAATATGATCCAAAATGTATGCGAAGAAATTGCGGGTAATTTTGTAGTTTCTCCTCGAAATTGCTTCGCATCCACGCTATTTACATTGTAGTAAAAATGAGGAAAGTAAATAGTAAAATCGGCTATACAAAAATGGCTAATTATGAAAAAAATAGATTTGGTAATTGATTAAAAACTTGAATTTTTATGTTGGCAAAAATTATAACAAAGATTACAACAAGGCAGTTTGATCTTGCCTCCATGGCATGATCGGAGTGAACTGTCCTGTTATAGCTAAGCTACTTGTCCATTTACAGTGAATGGTAATGATTCACACTTCCTGTGTACCAGGTCCTGCTGTTAAACACTTGTGAGAAGCATAGCTTGGTCCAGCCTCTAGGGAACTAAAAATATTCAAACAGTTAAACTTATTTAACCATTTACTTTCGACCCGGCAAGACTAACAAGGAACGACTTATGTAAAAAATTTACGATCATTTATTGTTTTCAGCCAACCGTTCTCAACGCTCTCAAGGCCACGTACCAACGCGTATCCAAAGGGTCCCAAAGACAGGGGTAGATTGTAACAAGAATACAATCAGACACAAAAACGGGGCCATCAAGCGACCGGCGAAGGCGCTTGAGCCAGCCGGCGAGAAAAGCTGCTTTACTTTTCTAACAACGACCATACAAGAGGCGCTGCTGCATTGGGTGTTTAACACTGATCAATCAATTGAGAAACGGTAAACACAATTAATATTCCATTTCATACCGCTGTTCTGTACTGGGCAGTTGCATGTTCAGATTCGTATTCTTTCCTGCCACGCACACATGTCCTCTCAGGAAATTCTGATGATAGTGGATCTCTGAAATAAAAGTTTAAAAAAAGTGACTGTGTTAACTTAACTTCCCCACCTAAATACTAACCTTAGGGACCGTTCATTTTTTATAAGGTAGGGGGGGCTGGTGGGATTTGGGGAGGGGGGGCCATGCGAAAAAAAAATGGCTTTCGAGGGGGGGCCATCCCAAAAAAATAAGGGAAAAAGGGGGGGTCATGTGAAATATTTTAGTAAAACTTTAA